AATCTGCCGCAGTCTCAATTCAAATTATCTGAAGTTTTGCTTTAGATGAAGTAATATGAATGCATCACATTCTTTTCGGTTGCTCAAAGTTGCAGAGGCTTAGTGTATCACATCAAATAATGTACGCACCGTATATTTGTTAAGACATGGAACAAATAGAAATTTCGAAGCAACTTATCGACAAACCCTGTCATTTCCACGAAAATCGTTTACAGCATTGTATTGTGCATATATTTTCAAGCTCAACTTTCTGCCATTACAAGTTCCTGCTTATCTTCAGATGTTAGGTTTTTTTCTAAAACACATTTTCTCGCAATTTCGCTATAATTTTACTCGATGTTGTATACGTTTCTAAAACCTCCAATTTCATTATATTTAGAATATTGTATACATTTGAAACTTTCTGCTTTACAACACAATTTTTATGGTATCCCGAAGCCATCTAATTAATTTCAGTCGAGCTGACAAATGAAATGTCCTGTTCACAAAAACATGTTCGACATTTACGTTTTTCCAACAAAAAAAAAACCCGAGTTTTTTCAATTATATTCGATTGGCAATTTTTTTCGATATTTACAAGTAAATCAAAATGGAATGTTCATTGTTGCTTGGATCTTCCATTTTTTTTTAGTTTTCAATATCATCACTCCAAAATTATGAGGCGTCTCAGGAAAGCTATTCAGCCAAATTTTGAGAAGTTAGTGAAGGTTGCTAAAAGTCGAAGAAGATGGTAATTCCTTGGAACGAATTCTGGAGAAAAAAGGATCTGTTGAATATCTTCATGTGATCGATCCCCTTTGAACATAGATGGCCTACCAGTGTGTGGAGCATCGCAATATCAGCTCTTGAATTATGACCCAATCTACATCACTATTCAGAAAATAACATCTTCACAATGCAGATAGCCCGTTCGTCACATTCTGCTTACAGTAAATGTTAAGAATGATGTTACCTATAAATGACATCCCATTTTTCAGTAGAAAATTTAGAAAAAAAGTCTAAGAAACGGTGCTTAGAGCAGGGATAGCGCTTTCAGATCAATTCATGATGAAAATTCCTCTAAGAAACGGTGAGCGTAGTCAAGAAGAATAACCCTAAACCACATAATCCCTTCTAATCGAGTAAGTTCAAAATCTAGCAAAGTGAATGAAAGCATGTTTTTGCAGCTTCTACAACGTCTGTTTATTGTGGATCTTGAACGAGCAATGGAGCATGGGATGGATGTACTATTTTGGTCAACGATAAAGCACTTGATCGACCGCATTCGCGAAGAGAAAGGGAGCGGTGCACAAAATGTAGTTATTATTTTATCATATGCAAAACTAAACTGCATATAAACTCGATCGTAGATTCTAAACGATACTGTAAGGAAGCGGAGTGTTCTCACGGTTTTTGAGAATAATTGGCGTAAAAATTACTGTTTAATCTAACTAAAACTGTCATTTAGAATTAATGTGACCTGGTAGATTAAGTGTTGATCTGCTTTATGCACAGCATTGTGTTTTTTGCTCTAAAGGCAAAATTTTCTTGCTACTTTAGAATTTCGAAAATGTGGTCAACTTATGTGTCTCGTGGATGTGCGACATGGCTCTGAAAGCATCTTCAAAATATCAACTGCCTTCTATTGATATTCCTTCATTCATATCACATTCAACTGGGCTTCGCGAGGACGGTACCGAGTTAGTTTCAGCAACCACGGGAAACGCATTTCTCGCCTTTATCTGCCTGCGTTTAGGCGATTTGTTCAGGTACAAGGTTAGT